AATACCCCGGTACACATCGAATCCTATTTGATCTGCAATTTCTCTTCATAACAACTCCCTCTTATCAAGGTATCAATGTGTGCTCGGCAAGAGCGCCACCAAGTCGTGTTTTACTTCAGCAGCTCCAGGCACGTGAACAAAAGCGCCAATCTCATTGGTCGGCCAGTTTTTAACGTGGCGTGTCAAACCAAAAAAATGAGCCTGAGGCGTTTTTAAAAAAAATGACGCTTTTACGCCTCGCGTTTTGCGCGTCGGTGTGCACACTCACATTGGCGCCTTTTGTTTAGTCACGAGGCGTTAAACATCGGCGATAATCGCGCGCGATATTCGTCCCGGTGTGAACAAGCCTTAAGACTGAAATTTTATATTTTAATTCCAAGTTACCACTATAGAAAAATTAAAAATATACAAATAAAAGATGTGGCTAGGAAGGTGCCATAATCCGTTATGGCACCCATGCAGCTGTGGTGTGAGAGTAGTCTTAATTTCAAACAGGTACCTATTTTCTGGTGCTATTTTAAATCGCAAGGCCATTTAAAGCTTTCTCCACAAAGCTCACTTTCATGATTTCTTAGGTGTATCTATCAGGTGTAATGTCAAAATAAATTTATTACATTGATCACAGTTAATGGGCCTTCCTCCAGAGTAAAAATGTTGGTGATTTTTAAAATGGCTTCTTTAGGTAAACTTCTTTACAGTCACACTTTATTTCCAGAATGATCTTGAAAGACCTCTCTCCACTGTGAACTCCTATGTGAGTCTTCAGGTTTCCTTTGATTGTGAAACACTTTGCACAATGATGGCATAAATTGGCATTAAGATAAAATGGCATAAAGATTTTCTATTTGTGAGAATCTCTTCCCACAGGCTTCTCTCGAGTGTGTTGTTTTCTCATGTGAGAATTGAGGCTACCTTTATGACTGAAACTCTTTCCGCACTGAGCACATTTACAGCATTTCTCTGCTGAATGAGTCTTCATGTGGTAATTAAGGCTTACCTTACGTATGAAACGCTTTCCACACTGACCACATTTGAAGGGTTTCTTTCCAGTGTGCCTGATCTTGTGACACTTAAGGCTAAATTCTGTTGCGAGGCTCTTTCCACAACGATCACATGTGAACAGCTTCTTTCCAGTGTGAATTCTCATGTGGTAACTAAGGGTGTATGTATGTGTGAAACTCTTCCCACAATACTTGCAAGAGAAAGGCTGCTCTCTAGTGTGAACTCTCATGTGGACTTTAAGGTTTTGTTTTGCAGGGAAAATCTTTCCACACTGTTCGGATGTGTAAGGCTTCTCTCCAGTGTGAATGCTCATGTGGGAATCAAGGGTGCCTTTCTGAGTATAACTCTTTCCACACTGACGGCAAGTGTAAGGCTTCTCTCCCGAGTGAGTTCTCATGTGACTTTGAAGGTGTACTTTTTGAGTGAAAACGTTTCCACACTGTTGGCAGGTAAATGGCTTCTCTCCCGAGTGAGATCCCACGTGCCTTTTAAGGGCTCCTTTTTGATTGAAACTGCTTCCACACTGTTGGCAGGTGTAAGGCTTCTCTCCCGAGTGAGTTCTCATGTGCCTTTTAAGGGCTCCTTGTTGAGTGAAGCTCTTTCCACACTGTTGGCAGGGGAATGGCCTCTCTCCAGTGTGAACTCTCTCATGCATTTCAAGCTTTTGTTTTTCACCGAAAATCCTCCCAAAATGATGGCAGGTGAAACGGCGGTTAGATTTGGTTTTCTGAGCTCTTTTTCGTTTGGAAGTCGTTTTAGTCTGTGTGGCTTTTTCACCAGTTATGACATCATGGTGTTTCTCATACTGATCTGTCTGTTCCATTTCATTCGGATCTTGATTCTCCTCTTTCAGCACCAGCTGGTCTAAAGCAAAAAAAGATAAATACATTTCACAACGCAGCACACAGCGTCTTCACGACATGGCGGCAGCCTCAATACTACAGCGAAAATAAAAGTTACGCCTTCTTTCTTTGCGTGATGGCTTTTTCACCAGTTATGGAATCATGGTGTTTTTTATACTGATCTGTCTGTTCCATTTCATTCGGATTTTGATTCTCCTCTTTCAGCACCAGCAGGTCTAAAGCAAAAATGGAAAAATGCAAGTTAACCGCAGTTTAAAGCCACAAAGCAATAGATGTGAAAACCAACATGAAAGCATTTAAAGGGGTCATATGATGCTGCTAAAAAGAACATTATTTTGTGTATTTGGTGTAATGAAATGTGTTTATGTGGTTTAAGGTTAAAAAACACATTATTTTCCACATACTGTACATTATTGTTTCTCCTCTATGCCCCGCCTT